GTGGAGGTCCTCTGGGAGTCCTCTTGGGCGGAGAAGCCCACGGGATGCATCACCTCCTGTGGCCGCGCGTTGGGCCGAGACCCCCCTGGAAGCTTTTTGGAGGAGCCGAAGGAAGGGCAGACAGGGCGGCACGCCAGGCACGCCTTCGGCAGGCTGCGGGGGCGGCGCACCCAGTGGCGTCTGGCCCATATCCAGTCACCGTGCCTGTGCCGTCGGGGGACTCGGAGGCCTCTCGTGAGGGCCTCTTGGAGGCATTCTGGTGGCCTCCTGGGATCCTTCGGGGGCCTCTGGGGCTGCTGCTAGGAGGCCATCTTGGCGCGGAGGGCCCCGGAGGTCGGTCCGGGCTCTCCCTCTTTGGGCACCCCATGGTGCTTGCCTGAGGGCCTGTTGGGCTCCTCTTTGAAGCTTGGGGGCCGCCTCAGAGTGACTTCAGGATTGGCCGATTCGGGGGCCGTCGAGGCAAGACATCTGGTACTCCTTCCGCGGACCGTACCACGTTGGCGTCTCCTGAGGCGTCGTCGATCCTCGACCTGGGACTGGTACGGCACATGGTCTCTCGGCCCTCCGAAGAACTATGCACCGTGCTGCGCTAGAGCGCGGCCTGAACAGAGTCCAGACATGATGCGGTGCATGTGCGCCGTTCTCGTACTGCTGAGTTCATTCGGAGGTTTCATCACAATTTGCCAGTCCCCAGGGCCTCCAACGTAGTCCTAGAGTCCCCGAGAGGGTTCGCGGTTGCTTGAGACCATCTGAGGGCATGTTGCAGGGGGCGGCCTTCAGTCTCTCCCGAGGCTTCTAGAACTTCACGCGCGCAAGAAAACAACGTGCTCAGAAGAGACGGTCGTTTCTCGGAGCCCAGGGGTCCAAGCCCTTTCAAACATATGTGCAACATTCAATGCGGAGAACTCGAAGGAACCTTACGATACTCCGCTTCGTGCCTAACGTCAAGGTTGCTAATCTTGTAGACGCAGAACACACGAACGGGGAGAAGGAGCCACACGAACGGGGAGAGCAGCTGCTGAAAGGCAGATGATTCGATTTCATGGAGCTCCAGGACGAGGTGACTCAGAACATGGTGGACACCATGTGACGATCTATTATGCAAGATGGCAGCTTTGAGCAGCGTGCCGCAACATTGACGTCTTGGAGTGTTGTCGAGGCAATTCCAGGTCTTGCTGGTCAAGGCTAACGTCATCACAGTTCAAATGTAAGGCTTTCTCGCTTCTGCACGTTGGAGTGTTGTGAGTTAGTGTCTTCCTGGGCTTTCTGGCGCCTTGACACCTCAGACGTGGACCGTGACCATGGGTCCACGGTCAAAGAAAGTGTGCGCCCTCGCCATGTTTCTTACTGCTGTTACTTTCGACCTTTCTTTGCGCGCGTTCCCCCCCCTGTGGTGCATACTCTGCCTCTCTGGCCTGGGGCTCCACTATCGCGATGATCGAGAAACGGCGATTCGGTGGGCCGACACGGGACATCAGTTACACTCTGAGGACCATAGTTGAGTGTTCATTTTTTTTGCTACTCGGAAGGTTGACCACCCAGGGTTTCAGAACCCGCTATTCTGACAGCGCGCGCATCTGGTGGACGATGAGACAAGCTTCTAGACCTACGGCGTTTTTATTGCGAAGGCCTTACTGCCGGTGCCGCCGACCCTTAAGACGACGAAGGGGGACCAGGAGGAGGAGGAGGAGGCAGAGGAGGTGCTCCCCCCCCCCGGGTAACCGGGTGGGACCCTCCCCCCCCCTGGGGGAGGGGATAAAAGGGAAGGGGCTCGGCCGCCCCCCTCCCCCGAAGGGAGCTGCCCGGGTGCTCACCCCGCCTCCTGGGTATCCTGGTGTGACCCCCCCCCCGGGGAGGGGATAAAAAGGGAGGGTGCTTCCCTTCGAGTAACTACGACGTTGCTCAGATTGGCTTCCCCTCCGTGTCGCGGCCGCCCTCCTCGCCCAGGGGGAGCAGATTGGCTTCCCCCCAGGTCGCGGTCGCTCCCCTTGCCCGGGGGGGGTTCAACCACTCCCCCTCTTGGAGCCGACGTGACGATCTCGTGGGCAGCTCCACTCCCCCGAGGGGAGCCGACCACTCCTCTTGGAGCCGACGTGACGATCTCGTGGGCAGTGCAGGCGACGACGACGACGACCCACGCAAGATGACGAGATCAGGATAATTACGTCTTCCACACGCCGACAGGGTCGGTGGATTTACAGCAATGCTATACTAGGCATGCGTGACGATGATTTATTGAATCGCTTCGCTCATTCCGCCGGCCCGTGATATGGTATCGCTGGTTTTTGTCTGTGTGTTCGTTGCCCATGTTGCGCTCTTGGGGGCGGGTGTCGTTCGGACGCGTTGCGTGGGGAGTTTTGATGGTGAAGCAGTTCCCTGGGGGTCGTCTCTCGATGGGGCGAAATAGAGTCGTCGTCAAGATGCTTCTTTGGGGGGCCTCTTGGGGTCTGTTGAGAGGCCGTTCGGGGGCGCCTGGGAGACATGTTTGAAGCCTTCTGGGGCTTCTTTTGGGCCTCCTGGGAGTCTCCTGGGGCCTCTTGGCGACATCTTGGGGCCTCTTGGAGGCCTCTTGGGGCCTCTTTGGGACCTCCTGGGCGCCTTCTGGGACGGAGGGCTCCATTTTTGAGTTCTCGGTATCCCTCCTGAGTCCCTCTTGGGCCCGTCTTGGGGCCTCTTGGTCCGTCTTGGGCGGCACTTGGGCCGTCTCTTGGGAGCTTCGTGGGCCGTCTTGGAGCGGTCTTGGGGGCCTCTTGGGCCGTCTTGGAGCGTCCGGAAGCCGAAAAAGCCAGAACACAAAAAACATCGAAAAAACCAATGAAAATCAACGATTTTGGCCTCTTGGGGCTCTCTTCGGAGGCCTCTTGGAAGGCTCTTGGGGCGTCTTGGAGGCCTCTTGGGCTGTCTTGGGGGCCTTTTGGGCCGTCTTGGGGTCATCTTCGGCGTCTTCGAGCGCTCTTTGGGCGTCTCGGGGGCCTCTTGGGCAGTCTTGGGGGCCTCTTGGGGCACTCTGAGCGCGCTCTGGGGAGCCTGAGAGGCCGCACCCAGAAGGAAAACCATCTCTGAGTAGACTTGGTCGGGCGGCGGTCGGGCGGCGGTCGGGCGGCGACCGGGCGTTGGTCGGGGTACTTTTCGCCGGGGGACCCCCAGGGGCCGCCCCGCGCGCGCGAACTAGAAATACTGTTAATACTGTTAACCAGTTACCGGAGATCTTAGCACGCCCTGGCCCGTTGGGCCGGCGAATTGCATGCATGTGCGCAGAGACATGCAACTAATTTCTGAGCCCTCGAAGTCTGACTTTGGGACCCTCTCAGGCCATGCCGAAGACCATCGGCCAAACAAACACGGGGGACCTCAATCAGGGCCTCCATGAGGAACCCGACGTAGGTCCTCTTCGGGCCTTCGGACCTTTTCGGGTGCTCTGGAGGGTATGTGAGGCCTTCTTGGGGTTTGTCTCCCTGTCAGGGCTCGTCTCGGCCCTCTCATGGCGCTCTCGGGCTATCTCCGGGCCATCTTAGGGCCTCACAAACCAATTTGAAGTCACCACCGCGTCAAAGGCGAATCCTCCGAACACCATCTGCGTGTTCGTTGATTTTGTCCTCATCAGGGTATCGTGGGGTCTTCTTAGAGCCATGCTGGATGTCGTCTAGGCTAGTTGGGGCATCTCTGAGGCCGTATCGGAGGCCATTTTGGGCTACAGGGGCCAACTCGGAGGCATCTCAGCCAACTTGAGCGCGCAACACATTTGGGATCGCTCCACTTGTGTTCGCCGAACCGAGCCAACTTGAACGTGACACACTGGTGTCGCCGAGCCGCTGGTCACCTTTACCTCTAATGGATCAGATTAGCCTTGGCGCAGTGCCGACAAGGGGCTGGATCAGGTTACATTAGGTACTTGCCTTGTTAGGGGGGGGACCTTCACCCCAATGAGGTGGCAGGCGGAGGGGTGAGGAAGGGATACGCTGGAACCTCTGATGCGCCGAGCCACGTGCGCCCAGAGGTCTGGGGGGGGTGCTCGGGCCCTTCCCTGTTCGTCCTCGCCCTCCTTCCCTCTCCTCTTCCGCTTCTCCTCGCCTTTCCCTCCCGTCCCCGTCGGTTGCCCTCCGCCTCCGCCTCCTCGTCTATGCTATCCTGCTCCTCCCCCTTCCGCCTCGTCCTCCGCCTCCTCGTCCCTCCGTTGGGTGCCGCTCTGCCTCCTTTTACCCCCTCCTCCCTCCTTCCTCCTCCGAGGCGCGCATTCGAAATGCACGCATCCAATCGAAAGAGCTTTCCTCCTCCTCCTCCTCCTCGTCCTCCTCTTTCTCCTCCCTCCATCTCCTCTTCGGCGATTTTCCGCCTCCTTTGACCGATGGGGACGCGGACAGCGACGACGACAACGGCGACGGTGGCGAATACACAGACGAAGACGATGGCCGTCTCAGGCACACTGCGGCTGCTTTTCGGCTGGTCGCTCAAGCCTATTGTCTTCCGCACGTCGATAGTCTGCCTGGCGCAGTCGGTCATCGTGCAGCTGCTCGGCCTTAGAGAGGCGTCGGGGGAGGAGGAGGTGGAGGAGAAGGAGGAGGATAGCGTGCTCTTCCTACTCTCATCTCTCTCCTCCCTCCGTCCTCCCTGTCGTCTTTTTGTTCTGGGGTGGGGGCGTGCCTTGTCGCCAGCGCCTGGGTGGTCTGTCACCTGAGGAAACAACTCTTCTAATGCACACGCTCTCGTTGTGTTGTGCGCTCTGGACTGCCGGCCGACACGAAGGGTCCCGTTGGACATTAGACCTAAAGTTAGTCTGGTGTAAGAGATGTGAGGAGGGAGGAGGCGGGGGGGAGGGAGGCAGGCGAGTTTTTCATGTGTTCTAGGGACCTCGAGGATGTCTGTACGAGGCTCCGGGAAGGTCTGGGGGGGCGGAAGAGGCGGAGGAGGAGTAGGAGGAGGAGGAGGAGGAGGAGGAGGAGGAGGAGGAGAAGGAGGGCGATGATGATATTGGCAAGGAGGGGAGGAGGAGAAGGAGGACCAGAGTAACCCCGGGGTGCACCGGCGATTCTGCAATACATCCGCCTGTCCCAGGTCCCCTCATCAGAAGTCCCTTCGGGACGACCGACATGGGTACGGATGGAATGGGTACAATGCCCAACAGCAGTTCCTGTTCAGTCTGAACAGGATTCACTGTCCACGCCGCCGCGGCCTGTGTCCTTTCGAGACAGAGGGCCGCCTGCCCAACAGCGGCCCGTTTTTTCCGTACCCATTTCGGGCGTCCAAGTCCCTGCCAGCGCTCCTCTGCACGGTGGGAGCGGCCTCCTGAGAGAGCAGAGCCCTACGGGCCTGCCACCTGGGCGGGAGCCCCGCGTTTCGAGACAACGGATGCAGAGGTCTCAGGCGAGAGTCGCGCTCTGAGCATGGAGCTGCCCGCACGCAGTGCGCCTGGTGCGCAAGCTACATTGTTACATGCGGATACGTATTTGTAAACAAGGAGGGGTGCGTCTCAAGCGAAAGCCTACGCATGTGCAGGAGCCGCACTCCATCCTGGTCGCTGTGGGGATACATACGTGAGAACGAATGTGCCCCGCGCTCAATCGATCGCCGCATTTCGAACACGGGCTGCCCTCCGTCCTTGTAATTGCTGGGAGCCTTGAGTCCACACAGCGCTAACTTGACCTAAGGCCAGAGCCACACACATTGAACTATAAGGAAACGAAAAGGAGGAGAGAGGGTGAGTATGACACAAGGAGGTGGGATGAGGATAAGGCGGATGGGTAATATGACGATGATGATGCTGATGATAATGCTGATGATGATGATGCTCCTGATGATGATGTTGATGATGCTGATGATGATGCTGCTGATGATGATGTCGATGACGATGATGATGATGATGCTGATTATGATGCTGCTGTTGACGATGACGATGATGATGTTGATGGTGATGATGATGACGATGATGATGCTGATGATGATGGTGATGATGATGACTATGATGATGATGATGATGATGATGATGATGATGATGATGATGATGGTGATGATGATGATGATGATGATGATGATGATGACAATGGTGATGATGATGATGATTGTGGTGGTGGTGATGATGGTGGTGGTGGTGGTGATGACGTTGATGACGTTGATGACGATGATGACGATGATTATTATGCTGCTGTTGCTGCTGCTGATGATGATGATTCTGCTGCTGATGATGATTATGATGATGCTTCTGCTGATGATGCTGCTGCTGCTGCTGATGATGATGATGATGATCATGATGCTGATGGTGATGCTGATGCTGATGATGATGCTGATTATGACGATGATGCTGATGATGATGATGATGATGATGATGATGATGATGATGATGATGATGCTGAGGAGGAGGAGGAGGAGGAGGAGGAGGAGGAGGAGGAGGAGGAGGAGGGGGGAGAGGAGCAGGAGGAGTATGATACGTGAGGAGAGAAGGAACGTGTGGAGGAGGAGGAGTCAGGTGATAATGGTTCTGGTGATGAGCAGGATTTCATGATGGAGAAGGAATATGGGAGTTCGGTCGGCTTGCATGCGGACATGCAGCTGTTGCAGAGCAGCACCCCTGACCCTCCTGGCTTCTCCCTCCTCCCTCTTTCGCTTCTCCTCCCATCTCACTCCGCCCTCCTCCACCTCCTCTCCCTCCAACTCCATTACCCTGTCGTTCCTCCTCCCTCCTCCCTCCTCCCTCCTCCTCCCTCCTCTTCCTCCTCCTCGTCCAATTCAATCGTCCTCCCCGCCTTCCCTCCAACATTGTAAGATGCTGGCCCCTGTGCTCAGGTCTTCCCCCTTCCTATCGCAATGCTATTGCGTAGAGACCCGCCCATTCTGCCGTCCTCGCCAACGCAGCCAGCCTGAGACTCATATCCTGTCACATGTCAATCCTGTCAGTCTTCCGCCGATAACGGACAACTCAACGCGATTGGTGAGACATGCAGGCTACGGCAAAATGCCTTCCTTCAGGCAGGGACTCCTGGGTACAACCGTGGGAATGGCGACCGCCACCCCTCCTCACTACGGGTCAGACCACCTCTGCCTCCCTGCCCCGCCCCCCCTACCCCCTCTCTCCTTCCACTGCCCTTCCCCCCTTCCCTCCTCCTCCCTCCTCCCCGTCCTCTCCCTCCCTCCTCTCCTGCCTTTCTTTTTGCCTCCTTCATTCCTCTTCTCTCCTCATACATTTGCCCATCTTCCCCCCCCGAGCCGAGCCGTTCGAACCTGCTTGGCATGCATGCCACCCATGCCGACGTTGTCCCGGACCCCTTCGTTGACGTCATCGTCAATCCCTCGGCATCTTTTCGTTGTCCCGACCATTCTCCCCTTTCCTGCTCCGACTGCTAATCGTTGTCCTCCTGCTCGTTACCTCCTATTCCTGTGCCGCATCTCCTCTCTGCTCCTCCTTTCTGCTCTTCCTCTTGCTCCCCCTGCTCTTCTCTCCTTCTGCTCCTCCCTTAGCTCTTCACCATCCTGATCTTCCTGCTCCTCTTCGTCGTCCCACTTGTCGCAGGAGTCCTCCTTCCTCCGTCTCGCTCCTTCCTCCTCCCTTCTCCCAGCTCCTCCTCATTTCCCTCCTCCCTCATTCTCCTGCCTCTTCCATGCTCTTCCTCATCCTCCTCGCTCCTCTTCCTCATCATCCCGTCCTGCTGGCACGGGCCTGACAGGGCCGTCCCTTGCTAGCTTTGGGAGCATGGTGACCCTCGACGGGGTGGAGGAGGAGGAGGCGGAGGAGGAGGAGGCGGAGTTGGTAGGATGATGAGGATGGGGGAGGAGGGATGAGTTTGGGGGAGAGGGATGAGGTGGGATGGCGGTGTTGGAGGATGAGGGAGGAGGAGAAAGAGTAATAATAAGAATTGTGAAGGCTTCACGGCCAGTGTCGCCGACCCTGAAGGCGGGACCTCCCCAGGGACCCCCGCTGACCCGACGACGACGACGACAACGCTGACGAAGACGACGACAGTGTCTCACACACGCCGACGAGTCGGCAGATAAGAGTAATCCGTAAGGGCTTCGCCCCACGCCGCCGGCCCCCTGTCTCGGATAATGAGAGATGCAAAAGCTAAATCACGTGGTCTGGGCGCCGCCGTGAAGCAGTGTCGGGACCCTGACCCTACGGATCTGCGTGAGAGGTGCCGCCGAATTTCAGACATGTGGCAAATCCCGTTTGTTTTTGCACCCTGACCCCGCCGATCTGCGTGAGGGGTGCCGCCGAATCCCAGAAATGTTGCAAATCCCTTGTGTTTTTGGACCCTGACCCTGCGGATCTGAGTGAGAGGTGCCGCCGAATTTCAGAAATGTAGCAAATCCCATGTGTTTTTGGACCCTGACCCTACGGATTTGCATGAGGGGTGCCGCCGAATTTCAGAAATGTGGCAAATCAGTTGTGTTTTTGGACCCTGACCCCGCCGATGTGCGTGAGGGGTGCCGCCGAATCCCAGAAATGTGGCAAATCCTTTATGTTTTTGCGCCCTGACCTCGCCGATCTGCGTGAGGGGTGCCACCGAATGTTAGAACTATGGCAAATCAGTTGTGTTTTTGGACCCTGACCCCGCCGATCTGCGTGAGGGGTGCCGCCGAATTTCAGAAATGTTGCAAATCCCTTGTGTTTTTGGACCCTGACCCCGCCGATCTGCGTGAGGGGTGCCGCCGAATTTCAGAAATGTTGCAAATCTCTTATGTTTTTGCATCCTGACCTCGCCGATCTGCGTGAGGGGTTGCACCGAATTTTAGAAATGTGGCAAATCCCTTGTGTTTTTGGACCCTGACCCCGCCGATCTGTGTGATGGGTGCCACCGGATTTCAGAAATGTGGCAAATCCATTGTTTTTTTGGACCCTGACCGTGCCGATTTGCGTGAGGGGTGCAAATTTTTACCCTCCCCAGCAATTTAGAGCACACGCTCAGGGCGTGGTAAAAATGCCCGTTTTGGGCCATCAGCAAGGAACAGTAAGCAGCAAGAAGCAGAACTGTAGCAGTGGAAACTGGAAGCTGCAAAGAAGCAGAACTGTAACAGTGGAAACTGGAAGCTGCAACTGGTACAGGAAACTGCGAAACTTCGCCCTACAGCCTAGTGGCCCCGCAAGGGGGCCGACGGATTTTAGCCATACTCGTAGTACTACTGCCACTCTTAATACTTCAACTATGACTCTGATGATGGTGGTGATGATGATGACCACGGCGACGACGACGGTCATGATGGTAATGATGAGGACGAGGACGAGGACGAGGATGATGAGGAGGCAGACGCTACGGGATCATCCGAAACATGTGGAGCAGCATGAGAAGGAGAAGGGACGAGGACAGAGACGGGGAGCGCAAGGACGGCGGCGGCGGCGGCGGCGAAAACGGCTCCCTTCGGTGCGCCGGAGACGCGCCTCGCCCGCGGACCGCTTCGCCCGAGCCTCGTCGGCCCAGACTCAGGAGGGGAAAAACACACACACACAGACACAATTAATCGTCGATTCCCAGGAAAGTGTGGAAAAACATGGGAAGTGGGGGGGAAGACAAAACCCAGGCAACACAGGAAAGTATGGGGAATCCTTTTGTTTGTGTGTTTGTGTGTCTTTATCTGTGTGTCTCATGGCCCCTTCACAGACCGCGTCGCAGCTGACCGCTGCGCGCCCCTGCCGCTCCGCCCGGGCGGGCTCGGCTCGCCGCGGCGCCGCGCCGCCCGGGCCGCCGGCGAAGCCGCCCCGTCGGGGGGGCAACGGCGGGGGGGGGGGGAGTGCGCACAGTGAGGGGGGGGGGATGCATCGACCTCGACGGGTCGACACGTCGACCTCTGATCTCGGGGCGACGTGTCGAGGATGCACAGAGGAGGCGTGGGGAGGCGGCCTGCATCGGCGATTGTCTGTGTCGACGATGCATGGGCGATGGATCGGCCATTCGAGGTCGATGATTCCGCCCCCCCCCCCTGCCCATCCCACCCTCTCGTTGCCCCTCAATCGTGCGCCAGGTGCTGGGTCTCGCGTGGGACTGCGGCGCGGTCACCACCGGGCCAGTGACCGTCCCGGTGGTCATCGCGCTGGGCGTCGGGGTCGCGAAGAGCGCGGGCAGGCCCGGCACCGAAGCCCCGTCTTCTCGGTCTTCGTCGTCGTCGCCATTCGTCGTCTGTCGGCGTCGTCGTTGTCGTCCATTGTGTTGTCGTCGTCTTCGTCGTCGTTGTCGTCATCGTCGTCGTCGTCAGCGTCGTTGTGTTCGTTCGTCGTGTCGTCGTACGTGGTCGAGGCCGTCCGTCCACTGTCCGTCGTACATCGCCGTCGTTCGCCGCCGCAGTTGCCGTTGCCGTCCGCCGTCGTCCGTCGCCGTCCCCATCTCCGTCGTCGTTGGAGGAGGAGGAGGAGGAGGAGGGTGGGAAGGAGAAGGAGGGTGAGGAGGAGGAGGAGGAGGAGGAGGAGGAGGAGGGCAGAGGAGGAGGAGGAGGAGGAGGATGACGTGGAGGAGGAGGAGGAGGAGGAGGCGAGGGGGCGAGGAGGGTGAGGAGGGGGCGAGGAAGAGGAGGAGGAGGGAGAACAAAAGAAAACGAACCATATTATTGTAACATAACAAAACTAGGAGGAAACATATTAATCGTACCAGTAATGACAGCACTACTCATACTACGAATACCCATGAAAACAATAGCAACAATACTAATACAAACTATCGTACTACGGATGTGATCAATATTGCTAATAATAGGACGGTTCATAGTATGAGGAAGACCAAGGCAAGCAACACTAGTTTTTTTATGTGAAGGCGTTTACTAATAATAGTAACAGTATTATTCATCAGACTAACAGTAATGCTAGTACTCGTAAGAACACTACTACTAATATTATTTCTTTATGCCATAAGCATGCCGGCAACACTGATACTAAGAATGCCATTGGTAATCTTAGCAATTTTTACATAACGTAGAATAATACGAATAGTAATAATACCACTATGACGAATAAGAAGAAGAGGAGGAAGCTGAAGAGGAGGAGGAGGAGGAGGGTGATGAGGGGGTGAGGGGGGTTGAGGAGGAGGGTAAAGGAGGAGGAGGAGGAGGAGGAGCAGGATGAGGTAGAGGAGGGTTGGGAGGAGGGGGAGGTGGAACATTATGTGAACAGCGGCGCTTTCGCTTGCTTCTCGGGGCGTTTCCATCACTGGCGCCTCAGCGTGGCTTTGCGGACCGATCGGGAGGGTGCCCAGGTAAGTTCCAGAGGATGAGAATGAGGATGAGGTGAGGAGGGGGGGACGAGGGAGCCAGGTGATGACCATAAGGGTCCCCCCTCTCCTCTTCCATATTATTCACCTTGTCCTCCCAACTCGATTTGTCTTCACCCCCTTCTTACTCCCTTCCTCCCTCATAAGACCAAATCAAATATGCTGGGCTTTGGAGGAATAGTATAGATGTGTACGCCAAGGAGCCGAAGACCATCTTTGTCTGGCAATGGTCTCACCCACGTATGAGCAAGCGGTGGAAGTAGGTTGAGATTTGTTCGAATTCATTGGCAATCGCTGGGCGGATTTCGTCGGGGGTTGGCCACGATGACGTCGCGATTGCTGACGGTTCTGTGCGCGACTATCAGATCCAGTTCCAGAACGCGGTCAATGCGGTGGCGATGCCGTGACATATTACTCAACGATATGCGGAGTGGGTCAAGGCGCTGGAGCAGTCTCAATCGACCAAGCCGAGTGTGACAAAGACCCTTGCAGCAGCACTGGTGTACCACGATTTCTGGCACAACCCGGGTCCCCGAGATGCTGGAGTGGATGTGCCGTAATTGCATTGCAGTGGCGCGTACAATCATGCGTTCCACATTGTGAACAAGTTTCGTATCATTGGTGGCACAATACGCGGTCTCAAGGAGAAGCCCTCTGGCCACTCTCAGAAGGCAGAAGTGAGAGCAGCTCAGAGAACGCTGCGATCAAGCTGGCCATGGACCAGCGGCAGCCAAGTGGCGAAAGGGTAGGCCACTGGATGCCCTGCGTGGCGAGGGGACCTGCAAGTGTTTGCCCATTCGTCCCCCGCGTGGCGGTGGGGCAGGCCGCTCGTTGTTTCCTTCCTCTGCCCGGCGAGGGGACAGGCCGCTCTCCTGCACTGCTGCTCTGGCCCCGCCCCTCGGGATGCCAGTGCCTGCTGCTGTGCGGCACCTGCTCACGGCTGGCATGGCCCCGCTCGTCGGGGTGCCAGCTCCTGGCTCCTCGGGCCGCCAGGCTTGAGGCTGATTTTTATTGCTGGCCTGGCCCTGCTCCACGGGGTGCCGGCGCCTGGGGTGGCCCCGCTCTTCGGGTCTTCGGGCGAGGTGCGGCAGCTGAGGCCCGCCACCTTGCTGGCCGCGCGCAGCGGCGACCACCCCCCGGAGGCGTGGGGTGGCCCGTCGGGAGGCCTTAGGGCGTCGAGCGGAGTGAGTCTTGGCTGACTTCCCTCGGCGGCGAGCTCTCCTTGTGTTCTCCCCTCGTGTTCTCCTTCGGCCGGGCGTCTGGGGTTCCCCCCTGGTCCCCAATTGTCTGCCCCCCTTCCTTCTTCTGCCTCGTTGTCCTCCTTCTCGCCTGGCACGCCCTAAAGAGCCCCCCCCTGTCCTTTGGCTTTGCCTGCGATGGGTCCGCCCATTCTGATTTTCATGCCATCTGCCAATGGCTCAACAACGCCGATGAGAAACACGGATCAAGAGACAACGGTGACGTTGTTGAACATTATTAATTCTAAAGAATAATTATTGTTGGGCCCCCTGGTGCGCGCCCCCCCCGCCGCGCCTAGGCCGCAGCCACGTTTTCATCATTTTCGTGAGGAAGCCTCAGGTAATTCGAGTTGATCAAGATCCGGTTGTTTTGTTGTAATCCGCTTTCCCTTGCAAAAAACACTATAAAATGAAATTTCTTGTTCAAATATAATCAAATTTCAAGAATCCCTTGCAAAAAATAAGGTAAAGTGGACATTCGCGCGCGCAAGACGAAATCCTTCCAAAAGCTTAGTGTTCGGAGCGATTTTAACATAAAAACATCAAAAAACCAATGGTTTTTCAACAAAAAAATGTCAAAATCTCATCCCGCGCGCTCTTGCGGATTCGTAGGAAACCCAACACTTTTTAAACATTTCTGTCAAACGGGCTTTTGCGAGCAACTTTTTCGAACTTCTGCGACAACGGTTGCGCACCTGCCAGGGCCATCATCCCTGTCAAATAATACCATGCGGGACACATTCGTTTTTTCTTCGCGCGCGCACGCCGAAATCTCCAAAAACCATTGGGTTCTGTGGGTGTGTACCCCACGCCAGTGTAGTAGCCACGGTCGTCCGCACGCCACGAAGTGAAGTGTCCCAACGTCATAGGGCGGGAAGCTGGGTTTGGGTGGTCGCGAAGAGTCGTTTGGATATTTGGTAGAGCTTGTAATGCCCCCCCACGAAGTGGGGGTATTGCCTGGTGTCGTATGAAAACCCTGGCACTGGGGAGAACACCACGCGTTCGGGTAAAATGATTGTTACTGTTGTTGTTGTTGTTGAACATTATTAATTCTAAAGAATAATTATTGTTGGGCCCCCTGGTGCACGCCCCCCCCCCCGCGCCTAGGCCGCAGCCACATTTTCATAATTTTCGTGAGGAAGTCTCAGGTAAAACGATGTCATCCAGATCCGGTTGTTTTGTTGACGCCCGCTTTCCCTGTCAAAAAACACTATAAAATGACATGTCTTGTTCTAACATAACCAAACTTCAAGAATCCTTTGCAAAAAATGGCACGAAGTGCACACTCGCGCGCGCAAGATGAAATCCTTCCAAAACCTTAGTTTTCGTAGCGATTTTAACATAAAAACATGAAAAACCCAATGGTTTTTCAAAAAAAAAGTTTCAAAAAATCATCTTGCGCGCTCTTGCGGATTTCTGAGGAAACCCAATATTTTTTCAACATTTCTGTCAAACGGGCTCTTGCGAGCAACTTTTTCACGTGCTTCGAACTTCTGCAACAACGGTTGCGCGCATGCCAGGGCCATCATCCCTGTCAAATAATACCATATTGGACACATTCGTTTTTTCTTCGCGCGCGCACGCCGTCGTCGTCGGCCGCGGGGCCCTGAATAGTAGCCACGGTCGTCCGCATGCCACGAAGTGAAGTGTCCGAACGTCATAGGGCGGGAAGCTGGGTGTGGGTGGTGGCGAAGAGTCGTATGGAAATTTGGTAGAGCTTGAACCGGCCCCCCCACAAAGTGGGGGTATTGCCCGCCTCCTATGAAAACCCTGGCACTGGTGAGAACGGAGTGTCCCCACGTGCTAGTAATTGTTGTTGTTGTTGTTGTTGTTGTTGTTGTTGTTGTTGTTGTTGTTGTTGAACATTATTTATTCTAAAGAATAATTATTGTTGGGCCCCCTGGTGCGCGCCCCCCCTGCGCCGCCTAGGCCGCAGCTACATTTTCATCATTTTCGTGAGGAAGCCTCAGAAAAGAGGGTGTGTACAGGATCCGGTTGTTTTGTTGTAATCCGCTTTCCCTTGCAAAAAACAATAGAAAATGACATTTCTTGTTCTAATATAATCAAATTTCAAGAATCCCTTGCAAAAAATAAGGTAAAGTGGACATTCGCGCGCGCAAGACGAAATCCTTCCAAAACCTTAGTGTTCGCAGCGATTTTAACATACAAACATCAAAAAACCAATGGTTTTTCAACAAAAAATTGTCAAAATCTCATCCCGCGCGCTCTTGCGGATTCGTAGGAAACCATCGGGACAACCATCGAGACAACCATCGGGACAACCATATCCTCTCTCTCTTGTGTATTCCCACATCCCTCAGGAATTTGCCCTAAAGATGTGATCAACTATCTTGTGAGTACGTATCATGTGTATCATGTGTATCATGTACCATATGCATCATATGCAACAGATGTTTGTGGAAGGCTTCACAACTTCTGTGGGTTAACAAGGCTTAACAACTTCTGTGGGTGTACGAACGTAGGCTTAACAACTTCTGTGGGTGTGTACTCCACGCCAGTGTAGTAGCCACGGTCGTCCGCAGGCCACGAAGTGAAGTGTCCGAACGTCATAGGGCGGGAAGCTGGGTGTGGGTGGTGGCGAAGAGTCGTGTGGATATTTGGTAGAGCTTGCACTGCCCCCCCACAAAGTGGGGGTATTGGCTGGCGTCGCATGAAAACCCTGGCACTGGTGAGAACACTGAGCGTTCGGGTAAAGTGATTGTTGTTGTTGTTGTTGTTGTTGTTGTTGAACATTATTGAGATTGTTTTTTATCCTCTGGGGGGTAACGCTCGTTACCCGGGCCTCTCCCCCCCCCCCCCCGTAACGGTAACGCTCGTACGCGGGGGGGGTCTCGGTCTTCCCCTCCAACATGCTGGTGCCCGAAGGCATGCGCACTGTGGTGTGGTGGTCGCAGGCGCACTGTGGGCGCTCGCAGGCCATTGCGGCGCTCGCATGCGCGATGCTGGTGCTTGCGGGCTTTGCGCTTGTACTCGAATCGTCGTCGTCGTCGTCGTCGTCGTCGTCGTCGTCGTCGTCGTCGTCGTCGTCGACGGCGCCCGAAAACGGCCTCCGGAGGCCGAAACAGGCGGCAAACGTCGTCGTCGTCGTCGTCGACCTCGTCGCTCGTCGCTCGTCGATCATCGTCGTCGCGCGCGCGGGCGCGGGCGTGGTGCCGGGACCACGCGGCGGGCTTTGCGCTTGTACTCGAATCGCAAGCCACTGTGGTGCTCTCAGGCAGAGAGTGCTGCTCGCGCGCATACTATGGCGATCGCAGAGCGCCCCTGCTTCGCCATACCCCGCCCAGCCCAAGCGTTACCGTTACCCGGGGGGCACGACCCCCCCCCCCCTCCCCGGGTAACGAGCGTTACCGGCCGGAATAAAAAAATGATGTCATTTATTCTAAAGAATAATTATTGTTGGGGCCCCTGGTGCGCGGCCCCCTCGCCGCGCCTAGGCCGCAGCCACATTTTCATCATTTTCGTGAGGAAGTCTCAGGCAAAACGTGGGTGTCCGGATCCGGTTGTTTTGTTGTCCCCCGTTTTCCCTTGCAAAAAATAAGCTAAAGTGGACATTTCTTGTTCTAACATAACCAAACTTCAAGAATCCCTTGCAAACAATAAGGTAAAGTGGACATTCGCGCGCGCAAGACGAAATCCTTCCAAAACCTTAGTGTTCGTAGCGATTTCAACATAAAAACATCAAAAAACCAATGGTTTTTCAAAAAAAAATGTCAAAATTTCATCCCGCGCGCTCTTGCGGATTTGTCGGAAACCCAACACTTTTTAAACATTTCTGTCAAATGGGCTTTTCCGAGCAACTTGTTCACGTGCTTCGAACTTCTCCAACAACCGTTGCGCACCTGCCAGGGTCATCATCCCTGTCAAATAATACCATGCGGGACACATTCGTTTTTTCTTCGCGCGCGCACGCCGTCGTCGTCGGCCGCGGGGCCCTGAATAGTAGCCACGGTCGTCCGCATGCCACGAAGTGAAGTGTCCGAACGTCATAGGGCGGGAAGCTGGGTGTGGGTGGTGGCGAAGAGTCGTTTGGAAATTTGGTAGAGCTTGAACCGGCCCCCCCACAAAGTGGGGGTATTGCCCGCCTCCTATGAAAACCTTGGCACTGGTGAGAACGGTGTGTCCCCGCGTGCTAGTAATTGTTGTTGTTGTTGTTGCTGTTGTTGTCGTTGCTGTAGTAGTAGTAGTAGTAGTAGTAGTAGTAGTAGTAGTTGTTGTGATTATTGGTGTTGGTGTTGTTGTTGTTGTTGTTGTGGGTGTTATTGTTGATGTTGTTGTTGATGTTGCTGTTGTTGAGGTTGTTGAGTTTGTTGTTGTTGTTGCTGTTATTGTTGTTGTTATCGTCGTCGTAGTTGTTGTTGCTGTTGCTGCTGGGTTCTTACCTCTTAATACTGATTACTGTTGATCTTCCCTTCGGTCCCAATTAAACATTGAAATGCCCACCCTTGTGCTCGCCGTTTCTTTGCAAGGGGACGTCTGGCGCCTTAGATTGTGTTCAACAGCGGCTCCAGCCTCAGAGTCCTTCGCGATCTAGTGGGAAATCTGGCTTTCGTGCGGTGCTCCCTTGCAATTTATCCAGGAGTCGCGCTCTCGCCTGAGACTCCATAACTTCATTCTCGACTCGTCTTCTCGGCGGTCTGGAATCTTGCTCTCGCTCGGGACATCTGCATCATTTGCTCAGGCACCAGGCTCTCGCCTGACACTTCTTTGCCACATCCTCTTGCTAGTTCCTTTTGCTATCCCTTTCGTCCTCCATCTTCTCCCTCTTTCCCTCATGCTCCCTTCTCTCCTCTCTACATTCCTCCACTCACTTCTCCTCGGTCTCTTCCGTTTCTATCATTTCGGTCTTTCTTGGTTTAAGTGTTGCGCCAATTACACGTTGCAGGGACGGAAGATATACCATTCACCCCCTAATGGTGTACGACCAACCACGAAGAGGATATCGAGATTTTTAGAAACACATGTTGAAGGACACGCGGGAATTTGGAAGCGATCAGTCTTAACGCGATTGCTGTTTTTGATGATGGGGCGGACGAGGCGGAGGGGGGATGATGAGGTCGTTGAATCACGGGGACGCGGAGGAGGATCGATCATGACGATGAGGTTGAGGAGGGGGAGGAGGAGGACGAGGAGGCGGAGTAGGAGGACGAGCGGGATAATCAATATCAACAACTGCGCGGGGAAGGGATATGGACGAAGAAAGGGGGGAGGAGGACTCGGAAAAAGGCATGAGGACCTAGACGGCGTGTGGATAAGGGCAACCAGGCGGAGTAGGACGACGATTTCGAGGAATGCAGACATATTAAGAGGAATATGTAGAGGGATAACATGGGGAGGATGTCGATGCAATGTTGATGGAGGTGATTGTGATGTTGTTTCTGATTGTGCTGAACATGACGATGATCGATGATGCGTGTGCTGGTGATGATGCTGCTGATTATGAGGAGGACAACTGTGCTGGTGGTGTTGATGACGATGATGATGCTGCTGCTGCTGATGGCGTTGATGCTGATGATGCTGAAGCTGATTATGCTGACGATGATGCTGCTGCCGATGATGCTGATGACGCTGATGATGCTGATATTGACGTTGATTATGCTGACGGTTATGATTATTGTGATGATGATGCTGCTGATGATAATGATACCGATGCTGATGATGATGCTGATCCTGACACTGATGATGCTGATGATGCTGCTGTTGTTGATACCGATGAATCTGATGATGCTTCCGATGCTTCTGATGGTGATGCTGATGCTGATGCTTATGCTGCTGCTGATGATGATGATGCTGATGATGACGATGATGAACATGAGGATTATGCTCATGTTGTTGATGATGATTATGATGATGGTGTGATCATCGTGATGATGCTGCTGAGATGATGAGGATGCTGCTGCTGCTGATGATTATGCTTATGCTGCTGCTGATGCTGATGCTTCTGCTGATGATGTTGATGATGCTGCTGCTGATGATGATGACGATGATGCTAATGATGACGATGACGAGATGATAGTGATGATGATGCTGATGATGATGATGAGGATGCTGCTGATGATGATGATGATGATGGTGGTGGTGGTGGTGATGATGATGCTGATAACGATGATGATGGTTATGATGATGATGATGATGATGATGATGCTGCTGCTGCTGATGATGATGATGATGATGATGATGATGATGATGATGATGATGATACTGATGATGATTATGATGCCGCTGCTGATAAAGATGATGACGATGCTGACGATGATGATGATGCTGATGATGATGATGCTGATGATGATGATGATGATGATGACGATGGTGATGATTTTGCTGATGATGATGCTGCTGATGATGAGGACGCTGCTGATAATGAGGATGCTAATGCTGCTGCTGCTGATGATGCGTATGATGATGCTGATGCTGATGCTGCTGCTGCTGATGATGCTGATGCTGATGCTGCTGCTGATGATGACCATGATGCTTATGACGATGATGACGATGGGATGATGATGGTGATGATGTTGATGATGCTGATGCTGATGATAATGATGATGATGATGATGATGATGATGATGATGGTGATGATGATGATGATGCTGATGATGCTGATGATGATGATGCTGATGATGATGATGATGATGATGAAGGTGGTGGTGGTGGTGGTGGTGATCATGATGATGATGGTGGTGATGATGATTATTATGATGATCATGAAGCTGATTATGATGAGAACGGATAATAACGGTATGCTTGCGAGGGTGGTGGTGATAATGATGTGGAGGAAGAGGGGTAGGGGGAGGGGTGATAATGGCAAGAAGGAGGGCGATTATGGATAGAACGACGTGGCTGACTCGGTCCTTCTCGGGCTCCTGCTGCCCCTCGTGCCTGTCCTTCTCCTCCTCCTGCTCCCCCTCCTCCTCTTTGCGTTGGCCAGACCTTACGCTTACGCGTGTGGCGTTCTCCCCCCTCCTCCTCCTCCTCCTCCTCCTCTTCCTCCTCCTCCTCCTCCTCCTCCTGCCCTTCCTCCCCTTCTCCCTGCACCCTCCACCCTCCGCTCTCCTGCATCTGACCCTCGCCTCCTCTCTCGCTCTGTCTGCGTTCTCCTCCCCCCCTTCGTCTCCCCCGACATTGCCCTGGCCCCTCCTCCCTCTCCTTCTCTCCCCCCTCTCGTCCTGACCCCCTCCCTGCTGCTCTTCCCCTTCACCCCCTCCCCCCTCTTCTCCCCCTCCCCCTCCCCCTTCCCGCTCCCCTGAGATCTGACGTTGCGAAACATGCAACATTGTAATACATTTGCCCTGGACCTTATCTTTCTGTGGCTTTTCTCGAGCCAGATCGACATGTTATGATCCCGCAGCCCGAAAACTGGCGACGACGCCCGTCGTGAAAAATTGCCACTCCCGGATCTCAGAGTCCCTTCTTCCCCTCTTCATTCTCCCCCCTTCAGGGGCTCCGGAGCCCTCAACGGCTTCGGCATCGTCACCCTAGCCTCGCTCTTCCCGGTGTGCCTCGTGCTGACGCTCTCCATGCCAGCGGGGGAATCCCAAAATGAGGAGGGAGAGGCGGGGGGAGGGGGGGAGGGAGGGCGGAAGGAGGGGAGAAGGGGAATGAGGGGAGGGCGATGAGGAGCAATGGGGCGGCAGCATTTGACCTTTCGCCTGCGCGTTGCTCCCCTCCATGCCTCCGCCTGGCCTGCCTCCTTTGCCCTGCCAGGCCAGGGATTGGTCGGTTGTGCCGAATCGCCAGGCCACGCCCCCTGGTCTCCAGGGTCCCCGGCCCCCCTGCCGCTCTGCCTCGCCCCGGCCTGCGCGCTGGAACGCCAGGCGTGCTCCTGCCCCAGGATTAATGGGCCTGTTTTCCACCACCACCACCATAAGTTGGAGGGGGAGGGGGTCCTCCTCCTCCTCCTCCTCGTCCTCCTCCTCCTCCTCCTCCTCCTCCTCCTCCTCCTCCTCCTCCTCCTCCCCCTCCAACTTATGGTGGTGGTGACAAGGATAGCCCTCCAGTCCCCATTCCTTCATCTTCGCCCTCCTCTCCCTTCCCTGTACACCCCCAGGGCTGAGGTCGGTCGGCTGGGGCAGCACCCGCGCGGTGCCTGCTCAGGCCGCGCCGCGGCGGGGGCTGGCGGGGGCGGTCCCGTATCGCGGCAGCGTCCTGTCGGCCTTGCGCTTCGGCTCGCCCTTTCGCGTAGACGTTGGGGAGGTCTAGGCCCTCCCTGGAAGGCCTGGGGCGGTGGTTAGAGCTCCCGCCCCCGTTCGCTCCGTGTGCGCCGCACGGAGGCGGGGGGGGGGGCGGCGCGTGTGGCGTCGTTACCTGACACCTCGAGCTTGCGCCGGGCCGACCTTCCCACCGACTTTCCAGGGGATAGTGAGGGCGGCGTGCGGCGTGAGTGAGCTCCTCCCCCTGCCTTCTCCTGCTTCCTCCCGCACGCGTGCCGCTCTGCAGCGGCGGGAAAATCCAGCTGTGGGGCGCGGATGGATACTCAGTCGGAAACTCGAGCATATACATTACCAGTGGTGGGCTGTTGTCCAATTCCAGGATTTTTTCCCAACCATCCTGTGGTGTTGGGTCCTCGTTTTGAAGAGACGGTGCCCCGCGTTCCCGCCGCTCCCGCTCCTCCTCCCCCTCCTCTCTCTCTCTCTCCCCCTCCTCTCTCCCTCCTCCCTCCTCCCCCTCTTCCTTGCGTTTCACCCACCCAGTACAGCGTTTCGTGGCCCCATAGGGAGCTCCACCGAAGGCCCCAGTGGCTGCGTTCGCATGGCGGCCTCGGGCCATTTCGGCACACCCCTCACGAGGATCGTGGCCCCATAGGGAGCTCCAGCGAAGGCTCCAGTGGCTGCGTTCGCATGGCGGCCTCGGGCCATTTCGGCACACCCCTCACGAGGATCGTGGCCCCATAGGGAGCTCCAGCGAAGGTCCCAGTGGCAGCGTTCGCATGGCGGCCTCGGGCCGTTTCGGCACACCCCTAATGAGGATCGTGGCCCCATGAGGAGCTCCACCGAAGGCTCCAGTGGCTGCGTTCGCATGGCGGCCTCGGGCCATGTCGGCACACCCCTCACGAGGATCGTGGCCCCATAGGGAGCTCCAGCGAAGGTCCCAGTGGCAGCGTTCGCACGGCGGCCTCGGGCCATCTCGGCACACCCCCCACGAGGATCGTGGCCCCATGGGGAGCTCCACCGAAGGTCCCAGCGGCAGGGTTCGCATGGCGGCCTCGGGCCATTTCGGCACATCCCTCACGAGGATCGTGGCCCCATGGGGAGCTCCACCGAAGGCCCCCAGTGGCAGGGTTTGCCTGGCGGCCTCGGGCCATTTCGGCACACCCCCCACGAGGATCGTGGCCCCATGGGGAGCTCCACCGAAGGCGCCAGTGGCAGGGTTCGCATGGCGGCCTCGGGCCATTTCGGCACACCCCTCACGAGGAATCGTGGCCCCATAGGGAGCTCCACCGAAGGCGCCAGTGGCAGGGTTCGCATGGCGGCCTCGGGCCAGTTCGGCACACCCCTCACGAGGATCGTGGCCCCATAGGGAGCTCCACCGAAGGCCCCAGTGGCAGGGTTCGCATGGCGGCCTCGGGCCATTTCGGCACACCCCTCACGAGGATCGTGGCCCCATAGGGAGCTCCAGCGAAGGTCCCAGTGGCAGCGTTCGCATGGCGGCCTCGGGCCATGTCGGCACACCCCTCACGAGGATCGTGGCCCCATGGGGAGCTCCACCGAAGGTCCCAGCGGCAGGGTTCGCACGGCGGCCTCGGGCCATTTCGGCACACCCCTCACGAGGATCGTGGCCCCATGGGGAGCTCCACCGAAGGCCACCAGTGGCAGGGTTTGCATGGCGGCCTCGGGCCATTTCGGCACACCCCCCACGAGGATCGTGGCCCCATGGGGAGCTCCACCGAAGGCGCCAGTGGCAGGGTTCGCATGGCGGCCTCGGGCCATTTCGGCACACCCCTCACGAGGATCGTGGCCCCATAGAGAGCTCCACCGAAGCCCCCAGTGGCAGGGTTCACATGGCGGCCTCGGGCAAGTTCGGCACACCCCTCACGAGGATCGTGGCCCCATAGGGAGCTCCAGCGAAGGCGCCAGTGGCAGGGTTCGCATGGCAGCCTCGGGCCGCTTCGGCACACCCCTCACGAGGATCGTGGCCCCATGGGGAGCTCCACCGAGAGCGCCAGTGGCAGGGTTCGCAAGGCGGCCTCGGGCCATTGCGGCGCACCCCTCACGAGGATCGTGGCCCCATAGTTGTGCTGCTTCAACAACCGCGCCTGGGCGTCGGACTCCGCCTTGCCGACGTGCAACGCCACTTCCTCCCTCATGGCTCTCAACGCCCTCTCCTGCCTCTGCTCCTCGATCAGAGGGGCGCCGTCCTTGTCGTCGTCGGCGCTTGCGAAGACGGCCACGAAAGTGTTCCTGAGCATGTCCGGCTCCGGCGGGAAGCCGTGGCCACATAGGGAGCGCGGGCGAAAATGGTATTCACAATTGCGGTATTCACAAGTGCATATGGTTGGGTCTTTCGCCAGGCTAATTTTACGGTCGGGGACGACGTCGGGTGGTGTGGTGTATACTTGTGTTCCCGTTTTCTCCGGGGAAACGACGGACAACGTATACACCAGGATCCCGTAGACACCAGGATCCGCTTCCCTGTGCAAGTTTCCGTGCATGGCCGCAAGAAGCATCGGTGTACAGAATTCGGCTCCCTACTTGGGGGTGTGCTGATGGCATGCCGCCCGCGGCCGCTCCTGCAGCCGGGCCGATCAGCAGCGCCGCCTCCACGGCCTGCCGAGCGCGCGCGTGCTGGCCGGCTCCCGCCGCGCTGCGGCGTGAGGCTGTGGATGGCCCGCCTCGCGTCTCGGGGCCTGCGCAGGCGGGTGGTGCCGGAGCGTCGCCGGGGCGGCCGACGGCGAGCCCCATCGCCAAGAGTCACCGATCGCGTTCCGCTGCTCGCAGAGTGCCGGCTCGCAAGCGTCCGAAAAACACACGTGTCTGCTTTGCTGTGATTTATATCGTAGATCCCCCGCGGGGGATCGGGCCGTTTGCGAGTGGTTACTTTGCGAGTAGCAGAACGCGCTCGTCTAAAGATGGGCGCGCTCTCGTGTGGGCAGCGCTGGGTCGCGCCAGGGGCCGCGGTGCCTCGCGCGGGCTGGCTGCGTCTCGTCGCGAGGGCGTGCGCCCGAGCGGCCTCTCCGAGGCGGGGACCGGGACTTGCCCAGAAATGCCGCCTGGGGGATCGATCTTCGCGGACTTCCACAGGCGGTGGGTAGCACGGATATATTCGGGCCCCCGAAGCCAACAGATATCCATCTCCATATTTCCACCGTCCGCTGGGGCACCAGGACGTCGGTTCCCAGGCGGTGGACATGGATAGATCCCCGACTCGTGGCCTGGGCAGGCCAGATGTATCCAGACGCATCCCCACCCCCCCCCCTCGTCGCTCTCGTGCCTTCGCCGTCTCCCCGCATCTCCCCCTTTGCCCCCCCTCCCCCCCCCCCCTTCCCTCCTGCCCCCCCCCCTTTCGCCTCGCGTCCCCTCTCCACTCAGTTCCCCCCTCTGTCTCGCCGCCCCCCTCCCGTGCCCCTTGCCCTGCTCCCCCGCTGCCCTCCCCCCGACTTCCCCCTGCCCTGCCCCCTCCCCCTTCGCCCTGCCTGTCCTCCCACCCCCCGCGCACGCCCCACCCCACCCCATCCCCCCCGCCTCCCACTGCTCGTCCCCCCTCTGGTGCCTCCCTCCCCCCCCTCCCCCTCTGGGCCTCCAGGGCGCTCCGCATCACGGAGGACCCCGAGGATCCCGCGCCCGGGAAGGGTTTTCCGCGCGTGCGTTTTGGGGCGCGATTCAGGGACGACGGTGAGGGGGCATGGGCTCGGGGGGTTACACATCGACCCCCCATCGCCCGTTCATCGCCGATGGGGGCAGGATGATCCAAGGTCGGTGTTTCCCCCCTGAGCTGGCCCCCCCTGAAGCTCCCCTGGCGCGGAGCCTGGAGGAAACTACAGGCGGCCTGGGCGGATTGGATTGTCTTATCCAGCCCCAGCAAGTTCTCGTTCAGTTTTTTGGTGTGGCCCTGGTCGGTACATAGATCTCGACTGTTCTGGGTTTTTCTCCATCCCTTGAATGCATGGTCAGCTTCGGCCTCTTCCATCCTTGTGTGTGTGCGTGTGGGTGTTAAGACTTCAGGTCCCCGTAATTCGTATATAATTGTTTCGGATGTCGTCATTTCTCCTGAGAGTGTTGCAGCGCGGAGCGGAGATACGAACCGTGTCGTTTGCGTGGTGTACGCGCCACGTGTTCGACGTGCAGTTGCCATGTTCGTCAACTGTACGTCAAAGGCAAAGCGTGACCATCCACTTCAAAGTGCCATTGACGTCATCATCAGCACACATTCGCAATCATTGTACCGCTGGCCTCACTTCGACTGTGGCACATAATCTGAACATGACGTCGATAGCACCACCACCAGCGGACATATCATCCCCGTGTCAGCACCAATACGCATCACATCAGGACCAGTTTGTATCCAGCTGCCTGCGGCAAACCCCGCCACTGTGCCTGTGCAACAGCGCTGCAGGAAGGAGGCTGCGTGTAGGAACAGCGAAATGCCGACAAGGTGATACGGACGGGTCGTGAACTCGACCTCGTCTTCGTCCGCGCGGAAGGAACTTGCGGCACTTCAGCGAGTGGACTGAATTGGGGAGGGTCGTGATCCCGACATCGTCTTAGCGCGGTCGAGAGGAGGAAGAGGAGGAGGAGGAGGACGAGGAGGACCAGTGTAAACCTAAGACTCATCAACGATATAACAGAGCACCCTCCTTTCGAGTTTCCTCGTCATGGGCCCCATACAGGGGCCCATTTGCATTGAGGCATTTGCCCCGCTGGATGACTGCCGTTTGCACTTCCAGTACTGTGGCAGACCACCATGCCTGGGACGTCAGCGCCGCTCATCCGCGTTGCTGTGGCGTCTCGGCGATCCTGAGGCGTGCCAGAACACCCTTTCCTGGGACCTCCGCACCGCGCATCGAGGTGACCCGTTGCGCCTTTGACGTTCCGAGAGCGTGCCAAGAGAATCCGCACAGCTGCTGCGAACGTCTACGACGACTGTGCGCGGCGCTGGGGCGAGGGCCGCATTCTGGACAAAGGAACTTTGCCAGGCAACCTTTTACCAGGAGCTTAGTTGTTCTTAAAAAACGCTGGGGGCGTTTTTTCCGTTTTCAACTTCTGGCGTTGCGGTCGACCAAAACAGATCAAAAACGGTAACGCAAAACGTGCCCAAAACGATGTGACCAGGACCAAAACGTAACAAAAACGGCGGGCGAAAACGCACACAAAACGGAGAACCAAAACAGAAAAAAACGGCACGGGCCTTGAGAGGTTCGTCTTCGCCGCGACGAAAACGTACAGAAAACGGCAGGTGAAAACGATTAAAAAACGGATCGCAAAACGAACCGAAAACGGCAAGGCGCAAATCCAAAACAGAAAACACACGGCTCCCAAAACAGAAAAAAACGTCGATCTCCAAAACGGAAAAAAAAAACGTCCCCAGCGTTTTTAAGATCATCTAAGACCAGGAGTGTGCGCGGCGCGGAGCCGATAGCCACATTTTGAAACCGGACCGCCCTCCATCCGTGAAGCTCTTGCATTTTTCCCAACCATCTTGTGGTGTTGGGTCCTCGTTTTGAACAGACGTCGCCCCGCGTTCCTTCTCCTCCTCCTCCTCCTCCTCCTCCTCCTCCTCCTCCTCCTCCTCTCCTGTCCTCCTCCCCCTCCTCCTCCCACTCCTCCCCCCTCCCCCTCTTCCCTGCGTTTCGCCCACTCAGTACAGCGTTTCGTAGCCCCATAGGGAGCTCCACCGAAGGCCCCAGTGGCAGCGTTCGCATGGCGGCCTCGGGCCATTTCGGCACACCCCTCACGAGGCTCGTGGCCCCATACCCATAGGGAGCTCCACCGAAGGCCCCAGTGGCAGCGTTCGCATGGCGGCCTCGGAGCATTTGGGCACACCCCTCACGAGGATCGTGGCGCCAGTGGCAGCGCTCGCATGGCGGCCTCGGGGCATTTCGGCACACCCGTCACGAGGATCGTGGCCCCATAGGGAGCTCCACCGAAGGCGCCAGTGGCAGCGCTCGCATGGCGGCCTCGGGGCATTTCGGCACACCCCTCACGAGGATCGTGGCCCCACAGGGAGCTCCACCGAAGGCCCCAGTGGCAGCGTTCGCATGGCGGCCTCGGGCCATTTCGGCACACCCGTCACGAGGATCGTGGCCCCATAGGGAGCTCCACCGACGGCCCCAGTGGCAGCGTTCGCATGGCGGCCTCGGGCCATTTCGGCACACCCCTCACGAGGATCGTGGCCCCATAGGGAGCTCCACCGAAGGCGCCAGTGGCAGGGTTCGCATGGCGGCCTCGGGCCATGTCGGCACACCCCTCACGAGGATCGTAGCGGCAGGGTTCGCACGGCGGTTTCGGGGCATTTCGGCACACCCGTCACGAGGATCGTGGCCCCATAGGGAGCTTCACCGAAGGCCCCAGTGGCAGCGTTCGCATGGCGGCTTCGGGCCATGTCGGCACATCCCTCACGAGGATCGTGGCCCCATAGGGAGCTCCATCGAAGGCCCACAGTGACAGGGTTCGCATGGCGGCCTCGGAGCATTTCGGCACACCTCTTTCGAGGATCGTGGCCCTACAGGGAGCTCCACCGAAGACCCCCAGTGGCAGCGTTCGCACGGCGGCCTCGGTGCATTTCGGCACACCCATCACGAGGATCGGCCCCATAGGGAGCTCCACCGAAGGCGCCAGTGGCAGCGTTCGCATGGCGGCCTCGGGCCATTTCGGCTCACGAGGATCGTTGCCCCATAGGGAGCTCCACTGACGGCGCCAGTGGCAGGGTTCGCACGGCGGCCTCGGGCCATTTCGGCACACCCCTCACGAGGATCGTGGCCCCATAGGGAGCTCCACCGCAGGCCCCAGTGGCAGCGTTCGCATGGCGGCCTCGGGCCATTTCGTCACACCCCTCACGAGGATCGTGGCCCCATAAAGAGCTCCATCGAAGGCGCCAGTGGCAAGGTTCGCATGGCGGCCTCGGGGCATTTCGGCACACCCCTCACGAGGATCGTGGCCCCATAGGAGCTCCAGCGAAGGCGCCAGTGGCAAGGTTCGCATGGCGGCCCCGGGCCATTGCGGCACACCCCTCACGAGGATCGTGGCCCCATAGATGTGTTGCTTCAACAACCGCGCCTGGGCGTCGTACTCCGCCGTGTCGACGTGCAACGCCACCTCCTCCCTCATGGCTCTCAAACCCCTCTTCTGTTTTTGCTCCTCGGTCAGAGGGACGCCGTCCGTGTCGTCGTCGGCGCCCGCAAAGACGGCCACGAACGTGTTCCTGAGCATGTCGGGTTCCGGCGGGAAGCTGTGGCCACATAGGGAGCGCGGGCAAAGATGGTAGTCACAAGTGCGGTATTCACAACTGCATATGGTTGGGTCTTTCGCCAGGCTAATTTAAGACGAGTGGGCGCGGCGCGAGGGCGAGAACCACATTTTGGTAAAGACCCGCCCTGCATCCGTGAAGCTCTTTGTCTTTTATTGTAAGAAGAATGCGCGCGGCGTTAAGGCGATTGCCGCATTCTGAAAACGACCCGCCCTCCATCCATGAATCACTTGCACATTTTTGGGACGAACGTGTGCTGCGCCACGGCGGGAGCAACACGTTGAAAACGACTCGCTCGCCACCCGTGGAAGCTGCAGGATCCCCAATGCCGAGGAAGTCTCAGGCGAAACGCCCGGCCCGCCCTTTCGAAAAAGGCCTCGGGGTGCGACAGGGAGGAGCTAAGTATAAGGAAGAAGAGGGATGGAGGAGAAAGAGAGAGAGAGAGAGAGAGAACATGAGGACGAGGAGAAACCTTCTTGGGGTCCTCTTGTGGCCTCCAGAGGGCCTCCTGTGATTCCTGGGGCGTCTTTTGGAGGCCTCTTGGGGTTCTCCTGGGGCCTCTTGGACCCTCTTGGGTCGTCTTAGGGAGGCGACTGGCCCGCCTGACGCTTTCGGAGGTCGGCTTAAGGGTCTCTCTTGGCCTTCTTGGTGCTCTCTTGGAGCGCTTTAGGACAGTCATGGGGCCCTCTGTGGAGCCTCTTGGGCAATCTTGGGGTCCTGTTGGGCCGACTCGAGGCCCTATTGGGGGCGTCATGGGCTGTTGGAGCTATCTTGGAAGCCTTTTGCGCCGTCTTGGGCGGTCGGGTGATAATTAGGCGAGAACCTCAACTTCCTTCAAACGACAAAGCAACATCAATGGTTTTGGCCTCTTCGGGCTCTGTTGGAGGGCCTCTTGGAGAAGTCTTGGGCCGCTTTGGGGGGTTCTTGAGCTGTCTTGAGGCCGTCCTGTTTGCCCCTTGAGCAGCAACACGCCATACGGAGAAGCATGAGAAGCCGTGCAGGGAGTTGCCCTTGGCTGTTTGGAGGGTGCGATGATCGCCAGAACGCGCTCTCTGAGGAGGCGGTCTCAGCGGCACGCGCGGGACGAGGGGGACGGGTGGCCCTTGAGCACATGACAAAGCGCTCTCGGGCAACGCTCGGGCATTCCAACACGCCCACCGGGCACCGGGTTCGGTGGCGGATGCTCACAGGAACGGCAGCTTCCGGCCAGCGGGAGCAGCCGCGAGCGTGTCAGCGTCATCGCAGTCACACCGAATGATTCGCATCAACATTTCACGCCAGCACCCCGCATGGCATCAGAATATAGCCGACGTCGCGTGCAGCTTTACCGGCCCATGCTCATACTTCGCGGCACACAACCATAGTGTG